TAATCCTCAGTCAGAAAAAAAGAGTTTTAGATAAAATAGTGTGAAACAACACCCACAATGTCCAAAACAATACTTACAACAAAACCTCTTTTTAAAAAAGTTTTCTGAATACATGAAAGGCAGGGTGGTAGCAAGCTCCCTTACTCACATGCTTGAGTAAAATTATAGGATCATTATTTAGGAAACAGTCATTAAAAAGTCCTTAACAGTAGTTTTATATGTGCATTACCTTTGTATAAATAGGGAAAAATTAGCAAGACTTTGAGCAAATAGAATCTTTGAAAAAGTTTCCTCTGTTAATCATATGTCTAATCACTGTTTCCAATAGTTCTTTTAGGAATGATGATGTAGAAAGAAGTTGAAGTCATTTGGAAGTAATATAATCATCTCAAGGTTTCACTATTAGATATAATAAACTTGTATATCCTTAAAAATAATGTTTAACTCATAAAATATGATCAACAATCTCTATGATTTTTTGTCTCTGAACCCATGTAACTGCTGCTATTGAAACTTTAACAACCATGTACATTTTGAATAATTATTGTCTCTAAAATCGGTTACTGTTTTTAGAGAAAATGGAGAAAAGGAAAAGAATGTTTAATAATAAAAGATTCTTGTTCCACTAATAATGTTTCTGTTGAATGAAAGCACTTCCAATATTCACGCAGTGATGGGAATGTTGTTTTGGCCCAGGTGGTAATAAAAAGAAAGGAGAAAAGAAAGGAGAACATGTCTTAAAATTGGATTTGGCAGAGAAGGTGTGTTTACCCTCACTGGGAAAACAGAGTGAATGAAAAAATGGAATGCAGGAAAGAGTGTGGCATGAGTGATAAGAAACTTTCAAGCTCTGCTCCTAATAAATATTCAACCAATTGGTAGTCTTTTTTAACTTTAGGGCCCAAGACCTAATATTCCTATGCACATTATATAAATGGGGATTTTAAAAAGGGGATTTATTCTGGAAAAACATTTGGATTTGAATGACTAAAATTTGATTTGAAAACTATTCATATAGAGAACTTAAGTTAATAGGGAGAAAATTTTTTTCCAGTGATATTGTCAGTACCTTCTCAATCACAAAGCTCTTTCATCTCTATGCACGTGCAATTTAATTTAATACCTACTAAGAGCAATGCTCAACACTTCCAAAGGAATTTAAGTCATAACCAGTACCCTATGTAAGGGTTTATTTCTGAATGACTGACAGGAACTTGGAGCTGGATTGCCACCTGGGGGAGTGACATAAAATACTCCAAATGCAAAGCAGTGTTAGGTTCAGTTTGCCCCTGGTTTCACCAAAAACCCTTGGACTTGGGATCCAGTTACATCTGGGTACACACGCTTTCATTTTCATGTACTAGCTTTGTAACCTGGGCAAGTTACCTACCCTCTCTCAATCTTTATTTCTCCATCTATAAAATGAAGTTAATAATACTTAGCCACAGACTCATTGGCATTAAATAAAATGATGTGAAAATTCTGCTGAGTCCCCAACAGAGTAGATAGCAAGAACTGTGAGATAAGATTATTGGCTGTGCTGTGACATACTGTACTGAGAGTAGCTTTTCCAATTGAAATGAAGCATGTTGTATGTGAGAGAGTGTTTGCTCAGAAGATGTTATTATTTAACCTGCTGCTTTTGTCAGTTTGGCAAAGGTTAAGCTTACAAAATGTACAGAAATTTCTGATTCATTACAGGTCAGCCTACTGTGTATCCTCAAGGCCATCCTGATAGGAATTTGAACTACAATTGTGGAGTTGAATGAAACCTCAGTTCTGGCTTTTCCTAATCCTCTAGATAGATTAAATATATAGTTTAACATTAGAGAAGATTTTTTGGATATACCCATAGGATAAAACATATTTTAGAGATTTTTATCCAGCTTTTTTGACATTGACTGAACTTAAATAACTATTGACTTTTCTTCATCTGATCTTTTACATTAGTGCTCAGCACATAAGCTCTACCCATAGAAATATATAAAGCAGTGTCATTTTATGATTACTAAAGGTTACTAAAAACTGTACGTTCCATTCCCCGGTTAGAATAAGAAAAGTTTCTGTGCAAAAGTAGCCTATGTATGTGTAGGTATCCTGATAAAACAAATTGCAATATAAAATGATATAGCATTTTCTTTTCCTAGTATTTATGCAACACAATTTAATCTAATATGGAAAACTGATGTCATGCATCTGAATCTGAACTAGCTAAGAAAGTGAAATGAAATCACCTTCTCAAATTGGAGGAAAGATAGCCTGCAGATGGTGAAAAATTTTTCAATGATTCCATTTTGTACACAGTTTCCTGACCAGCATTTAATCCTATTTTCAAATGGAATTATTAGAATTTAAAAATATGTAATTTAAAGAAGTGAAAACGCTATTTGGTCCGTTGTCTCCCAAATGCATGAAAAATGTCCCCTTTGTAAGGCATCTAGAAGGAACATGCAAATTATAAGGCTGGTGAGAGTCACTATTGAAAATACTGTGCTGTATCTTCATGTGATGTTTAAGGCAATTACTAGAGGTAACTACTACCCACATTTCTTTCAGAATCATTTCTGAACAACAGCTGAAAATGCTGTTAACTATAAGAGACTCAATCTGTCAAAATGTATTAAAGTGACACACTGTTAATGCTAGTTCAACCTAAAAAAAAAATCATCCTGTAATGAAATGCTTCACACAAACTTAGGAAAGCCAGGAAGCTTATAGTTCCCTACAAAATTAGCCAGTATTTTAGACCCATGGTGGTATGATATAGAAATGGTAATTTGAGTCCCTGCTGTGGTTTACTAATGGCTCTTAATACTTATCCATAGATGCATTTGCTTTTATAAATATGTCTAAAGGACAGAGAAATAACTTTTCTTCAAAATGGGGAAAGGATTTGAAGGATTTGGAAGAAACAGGACAAAAAGAAATTTCTTTTTCTTGCCCACTCCCAAAGTTTCCCCCTACCTTATAGAAACATGAATATCAACACCCAAACACACACACACACACACACACACACACACCACAACACACTGAGGCATGTATATAATGAGTATTTTTAAAGTAATTTATTAAAAATGAGAGCAGCAAACTCTGAAGCCAGTGTTCCTATCCTCACATTTAGACTAGTCCACACCTCCATGCAAGAACATCCAGTCTTCAGAGGAAAAGACTAGATTATATTGACATCCTATAAATGAGGGCTAGAACCAGATGAAAGTGTCCTCAATACTTTATTTCCTCCTGAAACTTGATAATGAAGCACCATCAGACTTTACAAAGGTCAAATTGGGGGAAAATAAAAGTTGGCATGCTCTCCTGATGATTTATTACTGGATAAAATACACAGACTTTATCTGATCAAGTTATTAGAGCCCTGGTCAGAGGCATCTATCACTGAGAAGCTTTTAAAGGTGAGGAAAGTGGACAGTATTTTCTCTTACTCCACATAAGAGTCAGAAGTAGAAGTGGATCTTTTTTAAGGAGCAGAGATTTCAAAACCCACCAGTCTTAATGTCCCAGTTCTCAGATCAGAGATAGCCCTATACATAGGCACATATAATGATCATCAAGAAAATGATATTTGAAGAGTGCTTTAACACCTTGGAATAACTTTCCACAGCCCATCTTGTCTCTTTCCTTTATTCTTTTGGCTTCAAAATTCCCTCCATTAGGGGGAACTTAGTATCTACAAGTTTACTATCAAATATACTGCTAGGAGAACTTTACTTTTAATATAGTAAATTTAATAGGGTTCATCAGATTACTAGCTAACATTGGTAGCTTTACATGATGAAGGGAGAGACTTCACTGAAGGGAGAAAAATACATGTGAAATTTTTATCAACATTAGCATTTGCCCTCCTAACAACTGTGCTCAAGTGCCCCTATTTTATCTGATCCTAATTTCTATTTCCAACCTATTTTTCCATTCTTCTTATTCATGTACCATTTGTTGGTCTTCCAAGTGTATAAACCTTATACTTTCCTAAAAGCACATTCTATTCTGAAGCTCATTGCAGTCTTGGTAATTTGTCCATTGGCAGGTGAGATCTCTTGCTATAGCCGTACACAGTAAGTGTTTTAGCTCTAATGAGCAGCTGAGCCATTGAGTGGTTCTTGAATTATAATGTGCATAAGAATCACCTATGTTGCCCACAGATGATGGAGGCTTTGTGGTCCCACCTCAAAGGTTCTGATTTGGAAGGACCCAGAATGCATTGCCAGCAAGTGCACCAGGTGATTCCAGTGCAGGTGATGCTAGGAGCGGGTGAAGTAAACTTCCTCTGAAAACATTTCTCTTTTGCTTCTTAGATTTCTGGCAAAAAAACTTGCAAGACAACATATTATTTTAAAATGAAAATATCATTTTTTTATTAAATCCTGGAAATTTCATTTCAGAAACATTACAAGGCAGACATTTTTATCCTCTACTCTCCTAGATGGGTTGAGAATATTTAGGAGGGTGTTAGTTTAATGCGAGTTAAGAAAATTGTCATTAATCACTTTTTGAGAAAATGTAGGAATCCCAGGAACATGCTGTAATTTGCGTCACTTTTGGACTGCCTCTGCCAGCTCTGTTGTTAGAAGAACAGTTGTTTATGAAAAGGGCAGGTTTAAGATGAAAATACTGCATTTGCAAAACTCAGAAAACAGTATCAGAGTCTGTAGACTGTGCTCTTCCAACTGGAGAATCCTGTATTTGTAATAAATTCCTGTTGCTCTGGATGAGTTCTGCATTTTCAATGAGGTTAACTTGGCAACATTCAAGTTGATTTTAATAAAAATAGCCGCTTTGAGGACAGGGAGCTGAGGTTGCCAAATTTACAGCTGCCTTGCACAATTACTCTTACACCTCCTTCAGGGCTACTTAGAACCAGTAAGCAAATTAAGTGTATCGATTGCAATTTTGTTGGACTAACCCTGCTTATTTTTTTCTTAAGGAATAAACTTGATTCCTTTTAGTATGTGTCTGTTCAGAGTGATCTCTTTTCTTTTCAGCCATAACACAAAGACAACATCATGGCTGGATCCACGACTTGCGAAAAAGGCTAAACCTCCAGAAGAGTGCAAAGAAAATGGTAGGTTATTAAGTTTTTATGGTATTTCAGCAATGCCCTTTGAGAATGTTTGTGTTTCTTAAAAGAGGGACTCACCTAAAGAAGCAATAATCTAGTTGAAACAATTTTCAGAATGTACTATTTAAAGCTCAGATAGGAGAGAGAATTAACTCGGCATTTCAGCAGGGCCATGTGGTTTTGCTTTTTCTCCCTGAGGAGACTGTGCTGAATATCACATCTCTGTCATCTCTGTTGATTCTGTTTGACTCCTGGCCTGACTTTCCACCACCTACTAAGGACTTTTGGTTTGCAATATGTCTCTCTGAGTACTCTGATATTTTAAGTGGAGTCAGATATGATGCATAGAGAAGAAGTATTGTGGAACTATAAATAATATTTGTTTGTATTCAAAGGCATAGCATTCTGCCAGTTATTATGGAACCAGTATTAATGAAGGTATATTTTTAATCAAATATGAAAATAAGAGAACTAATTACATTAATGTCTTAGATTGTTCTTACTATTTTCTAGGACTAGGTTTAAATATAATAGACTTGCTTAAAAACGGACTGTTTTCATATATGTGAAGAATATTTTTCAAATAGTTTCAGAGGACTAGATGAATGTAAACTTTGTTATTAAATTGGTAAATTGTATAGGTGAAGCTGTTACTGATACATGTAAATTTTTAAAATGTTGTGGTTAATGTTGAAATAGTGCTTATAATTCAGCTAAAATGGCAAATACCATACTGTCCTGATGATTTACTATTTGACCACATTTGCAGTCTTTATCTGATCAAATTATTACTTCCCTGTTCAGAGGCATCTGTCATTGTGAGCTCTAAAAGGTGATCAACCAGGCCAATAGTATTTAAACTTTTTAAAAACTTTTTACAAATCAACTTTTAAAAAATCTCTAATTCTCAAAGTCCTTTCATTTTAATAATAATTCTGATTTTTTCAAATAATATCATGTGTTCCTGTTATAAGGCAGCTATTCACAGGGTAGATACACTGCTGAGTTAAATTAAAAACTAATGCAATTTTTATGCACATATAAATACACAAATATCCAGTTTCTAATCAATATTATCTGCTTTGAATTTTATATTCATAACAATATCTCTATTCCTCCTATATTATAGTACAACTATATGTGGTTTAACTCATAAAATTATTATATGATCTGGACTTTTGAGCACATTTAAGTTACATTTCATTGATACCAATAAGACATGTGATGCAAATTGTGATAGGTTATAAATTAAAATGACCTGATCTGTTATGTCTGAGAGTTATAATTTACTTATGACACAGATGTAAAATGTTAATATAACCTAATTAAAATGAATTTAACAATTTTTACATTCTGTGATATATTGAACTTCATAACTGTCTTGTTCCTTTGAGTTGTTCATTTCATTATAAATGCTCTTAAAGTCAAATTTTAAAATCCTAGGAGAAAAGTAGACATAACATATTGCCAAGTTATGATATTTCAGTTTTATCCGATTTTTCAGGGAAAAAAAACTGCATTTCTGAGCCTTCTCAAGATGGTAAATGCCTAAAATATGTCAGTGTCCTATGAACCAAATGTCATTGACAAATGAATCCTTTAAAAAGTTTATAGTTTTGATCAATTACTGTCTGTTTTCATTTTCTACAAAATAAATAATTCATAGATAGTTCCACATATTATTCGAATATTGTACAATGGAAACTAGTATTTACTAGTTTTAATGAAAATGCTGTTATTCTGGACACATATTTAAGTTTCCTTGCCAAGAAGAGTGTACTTACGTAATGTTGTTACTTATGGTTTATTTTTCCTTTCTTTAACATGGACTATAGCTTCTTTAAAATGTTAGATCTTAAAGGATTACTGTTGGGCTGCCAGTTAAATCACTCATGTATCAAAAATCAGTTCAGACACACAGTGCACTAATTTTCTGAATGTTGGAAGTGTGCATAAAATGTGTATTTAAAACCTGTTGCTGTTCCAGATGATATCTTTCTTTTGTAAAGACTCACCCTCCCTCTGCTAGGCAGATAGAGTGAAAGCTAATTACCCTAATCTAATTTAGAATTGAGCCAATCTGAGGTTGGATTGAGTTCCGATAAGCTACAGTAAATCTTTGGTTTGCCCCTGTCTTAAGGGCATTTGCCTACTAGGGTTTTCAACTAACAGCCTAGTGCAGGTTGGCAAACATTTTCTGTAAAGGGCCTGGTAGTAAATATTTTGAACTTTGCAGATCATTCAGTCTCTTTGCAACCACTCATTGCTCAAAAACAGCCAAAATCAATATATGAAGGTCCTAGATATGTTCTGCTAACCCTTTATCTTTTGACACAGAAATTTAACTATATTCTTTTATGTAACAAAATAATCTTCTGATTTTCTCAACTGTTTAAATGGTATTTACTGTTCATTTGTGGTCCATACAAAAATAGAGGTGGGCTGGACTTGATACACAGGATGAACTCTAACCTGGTGTGTTCTTGTGAGGCCTTTCCTTTGGCACACCTTGAACATGAATATTTTTAAATATCTTTCTACTCAGGATTATAAATCTGCAGAAAATCTAGATGCATCTTGAGAATCTGAGGTTGTTTTTTTTTTTTTTGTTAGAAGATCCTGCAGCTTCAGAATTTGACAAATGTCAAGGGTTACTTGACCAAGTGCCTAAGATCTCTCAAGTTTAAATTTTGTCACTCTAATCTCTCAAGAGTCTTCAGTTCTCTGCTGGTTACTCTAATCTCCAGCAGTGGCTTTCTTCCCAGGCTTAGTCCAAATTCAGATTTCTAAGAGCCCCAAATCACAAAAGCCTCTTCTAATTCTTCCCTAACCTCTACAAGGTTCTCTTCCAAATCTTAGAGCTTCTCAGTGTTCTCTTCCGCATCTTAGAGCTTCTCAGCTTGTCAATTCAGTAGTTCTCTGATCCCTTTAAATTACTTGTTTTCTCATGGGTTAAAAATTATTTACTCCACTCTGTCTAGAAATTCATATTTTAATAGGGTTGTACACCATGTTGTATATGTATGCATATTGCATATGAATGTATATAATTATGTGAATATGCGTGTATAGATACAGATCTATAACATGCATCTTCAGAGCTGTTCACTTAGGGGCCTGATTTCCTGGTCAGTTATGATAAGAGGAAATCAAATGAAAGAAATGGACTTAAATTATCATTGGGCTAGTGAAAAAAACTAACTATTTTCTCCTTGGTTTCAAGGGGCTAAAGGAAACATGGATGGCTCGGTGCAAATATGCATCAAACTAGCACTTATTCTATTGACACTGAAGCACTCATCTCCCCCTTTATCTGAAGGATAACACTGCTACTGAACATAAAAACACACTTTTTCCTCCCACAGTACAGTTGGAAATGCCAGCTTTCTTGTGTTCTCTGTGTTTATCATAGCTCTGTGCAGTTCCAGAGTTTTAGTACCAGTTCACATGGCAGAAGAAAGTCCCCACCTACCATGGGATTCTAATATTAGATTAGGGGGAGTGCTATTAAGCAAGCTAATAGAGTCTTATTTAAAATGCCACAGAAATAGCAGTTAACTATTAAATAATTTGGATGCAAAACCAGTTAAATTGCGTATAAAGCACCAACATATTTGTCCCCTCAGAATCAGTGGTGTGGGACTTCTCTTGAGACATTTCCAATTACAAACATTCATATTCTGACACTTCTTTCAAGAATCACTGAGTTGGAATATCAAAAGCGAATAAAGCCTTCTGGGACCATTCTTTTCTTAAAATTGAAATGTGATTAAATTCAGTAGAACCATACGGTTATTCTCAGAAGAAGAAATCATGTGGATTGGAGTCAGGAAAAACTATTTCAACCCCAAATCTATGGGCTCTTGGGTACTTAGTATTTAGGATGGTGAGGTTTCTTACCTGTAGAATGAGAATTACATCTGCTTAATAGAGGTTCAGCTCTACATTCAGAAGTATCATACTTGTTGCACCATAAATTCTAAATAACTGTGAACTTCCTAACTTTCAGGTACTGTTTTAGACTCATGGAAAATAAGGGTTAAATTTAGACAGGTGTCCTGGAGAGATGGAGATGAATAAATCCTTGTAGGCTAAAATTTTCCATCTTGCTAATTCTAGCCTGATGTTAATAGGGATTTTTCCTTTTCATTCCAGTAAAGTGGCCCTGTATGCTCACAAAGTTATAATTTCATTGATATGAACTGACTAGGTGGTTTCATTTTTGTATTCAATATCTATAAATTATTTGACTTTTTTATTCAATTATTAAAATTTATTTATGTACAAGTACTGAACACCTATCTTTAAATATTATGAACAAATTTGAATCCTATTTTGTTTCTACTGATATCTTGGATGTTATAAAAAATGAGGAGGTGGCAAATATCTTAATACAGACAGTTAATACTTATTTAGCTAACTAGCAATTATTCATGTTAGTCATGATTTTCTATAGCAACACTTTTGAGATATGCTTCAACCAATAGCATGGTACCCTTTCCACTATTTTTGGCTCAGAAGTACTCAGAAATATCAATTATTTAGGAATATAAGAATTTCATGGATGAAATAATAGTTTATTCAAAATAAATCATGTAGAATAGATAATTCCATTATTGTGCATTGGTACCAAATTTGGGGGGAAGCTTGTAGCTATTTTATTGGTTCTAATTAGCCCCTGTGTCTATTAAAGATTGGTTGATGTTTACACTGTGAAAGCTGTTGTATATATTGAATATCACACCTGAAATAATTATTTGTATATCTTGCCTTTATACATGCTAATATTTATTAGAACTGTCAAATAGAAACTATGTGAGGACCATGAAATTTTGTCCTACATTTTTTTTCTTACTTGCTCAAGTTACTTTTATGTTTAGAAAAGTGTTAGCTTGTCCTTGCATTGTAACAACTTCAACTTAAAAATTGCATCAATACCGTCAAATCTATTTGTTCTACACAATAAAATAATGACTTCAAAAATTTTCAAGTATTACCTTTTA